TAGAGCCAAACTGGGAGGCACTGGGAGGGATTGGGAAGGGTTAAGGCCTTACTGGGAGGTACTGGGAGGTGTTAGAGATGGACTGGGAGGGGGTTTGGGCCTTACTGGGGGGACTGGGAGGGATTGGGAAGGTTTAGAGGTAAACTGGGAGGCACTGGGAAGGGTTAAGGCCTTACTGGGAAGGGTTGGAGCCAAACTGGGAGGGACTGAGAGGAAGTCTGGGCCTTACTGGGAGGGACTGGGATGAACTGGAAGGGGTTAAGGCCTTACTGGGAAGGGGTAGAGATGGACTGGTAGGGGGCCAGGGCCTTACTGGGAGGTACTGGGAGGCGTTAGAGAGGGACTGGGAGGGGCTAGAGCCAAACTGGGAGGTACTGGGAAGGACTGGGAAGGGTTAAGGCCTTACTGGGGGGGACTGGGAGGTACTGGGAAGGATTGGGAGGGGGTTTGGGCCTTACTGGGAGGGACTGGGATGGACTGGGAGGCATTAGAGATGGACTGGGAGGGGCTAGAGCCAAACTGGGAGGGACTGGGAAGGACTGGGAGGGGTTAAGGCCTTACTGGGAGGCACTGGGAGGCACTGGGAGGGACTGGGAGGGACTGGGAGGAGGTTTGGGCCTTACTGGGAGGGACTGGGAGGGGTTAGAGCCAAACTGGGAGGGGCTGGGAGGGGGCTAGGGCCTTACTGGGATGGATTGGGAAGGGTTAGAGGTAAACTGGGAGGCATTAGGAGGGGTTTGAGCCAAACTGGGAGGGACTGGGAAGGGTTAGGGCCTTACTGGGAGGAGTTAACTGGTTTTAACTGGTTTTTAATGGGTTGAACTGGTGTTTAGCTGAGTTTTAAGGGGTTTTTAATGGTTTTTAAGGAGTTTTTAACGGGTTTTAAGGGGTTTTAAGTGATTTTAACGGGCTGGGCTGGTGTGTGACTGGTGGTAACTGGTGTGTGACTGGTGTTTAACTGGTTGTGACTGGTCAGAGCAACTGGCACGAGGTGGTGGAGACGTTTGACGAGATGCAGCTGGGGGAGGCGCTGCTGCGCGGGATCTACGCCTACGGCTTCGAGAAACCCTCCGCCATCCAGCAGAGGGCGATCCTGCCCTGCATCAAGGGTACTGACCCACATCCGCCCCATAGCCTGCCCCATAGCCTGCCCCATAGCGACCCATAGCGACCCATAACCCCCCGTCCCCTGGGGGATCTACATCTGTGGGTTCCAGAAACCCTCCGCCATCCAGCAGAGGGCGATCCTGCCCTGCATCAAGGGTACTGACCCACATCCGCCCCATAGCCTGCCCCATAGCCTGCCCCATAGCGACCCATAGCGACCCATAACCCCCCGTCCCCTGGGGGATCTACATCTGTGGGTTCCAGAAACCCTCCGCCATCCAGCAGAGGGCGATCCTGCCCTGCATCAAGGGTACTGACCCACAGCGACCCACAGCTGCCCCATAGCCTGCCCCATAGCCTGCCCCATAGCGACCCACACCCTGCCCCATAGCGACCCATAACCCCCCGTCCCCTGGGGGATCTATGTCTGTGGGTTCCAGAAACCCTCCGCCATCCAGCAGAGGGCGATCCTGCCCTGCATCAAGGGTACTGACCCACAGCGACCCATAGCGACCCACACCCTGCCCCATAGACTGCCCCATAGCGACCCATAACCCCCCATCCCCTGGGGGATCTGTATCTATGGGTTTGAGAAGCTCCCTGTGATACAGCAGAGAGCGATTCTGCCCCATATCAAGGGTACTGCCCCATAGCAACCCACATCCTGCCCCATAGCTGCCCCATAGCAACCCATAACCCTACTCTTCCCCTGGGGGATCTATGGCTATGGGTTCCAGAGAGCCATGCTGCCCCATAGAGACCCACAGCTGCCTCATAGCAGCCCATATCTGCCCCACAGCGACCCACAGCTGCCCCATAGTGACCTGTATCTACCCCACAGCAACCCACATCTGCCCCATAGCTGCCCCATAGCGACCCATAGCCCTCCTGTTCCCCTGGGGGATCTCTGCCCTGCACCTCCCCACGCGTTCCCCTGCCCCACACATCCCCCTGTTGCCC